CTGTTTAAGCCTAAATGAATAGTATCCAATTTGCAAATGAATTCCAATTCAGCAGTTTCTCGCTGGAGTCTGGATTTGAAGTTTTTTTGTTTTAAGATAGCGACCTTCATGTCTGTGATTGCGTGACCAGAGAGATTGAAGTGTTCTCCGACTGGTTTATGACTCTTATAATTCTTGACATCTGATTTGTGTCCATTTATTCTTTTACGTAGAGACTGTCCAGTTTGACCAATGTACATGGCAGAGGGGCATTGCTGGCACATGATGGCATATATCACATTGGTGGATGTGCAGGTGAACGAGCCTCTGATAGTGTGGCTGATGTTATTAGGCCCTGTGATGGTGTCCCCTGAATAGATATATGGGCACAATTGGCAACGGGCTTTGTTGCAAGGATAAGTTCCTGGGTTAGTGGTTCTGTTGTGTGGTATGTGGTTGTTGGTGAGTATTTGCTTCAGGTTGCGGGGCTGTCTGTAGGCAAGGACTGGCCTGTCTCCCAAGATTTGTGAGAGTGTTGGGTCATCCTTTAGGATAGGTTGTAGATCCTTAATAATGCGTTGGAGGGCTTTTAGTTGGGGGCTGAAGGTGACGGCTAGTGGCGTTCTGTTATTTTCTTTGTTAGGCCTGTCCTGTAGTAGGTAACTTCTGGGAACTCTTCTGGCTCTATCAATCTGTTTCTTCACTTCCTCAGGTGGGTATTGTAGTTGTAAGAAAGCTTGACAGAGATCTTGTAGGTGTTTGTCTCTGTCTGAGGGGTTGGAGCAAATGCAGTTGTATCGCAGAGCTTGGCTGTAGATGATGGATCGTGTGGTGTGGTCAGGGTGAAAGCTGGAGGCATGTAGGTAGGAATAGCGGTCAGTAGGTTTCCGGTATAGGGTGGTGTTTATGTGACCATTGTTTATTAGCACTGTAGTGTCCAGGAAGTGGATCTCTTGTGTGGACTGGACCAGGTTGAGGTTGATGGTGGGATGGAAATTGTTGAAATCATGGTGGAATTCCTCAAGGGCTTCTTTTCCATGGGTCCAGATGATGATGATGTCATCAGTATAGCGCAAGTAGAGTAGGGGCTTTAGGGGACGAGAGCTGAGGAAGCGTTGTTCTAAATCAGCCATAAAAATGTTGGCATGCTGTGGGGCCATGTGGGTACCCATAGCAGTGCCGCTGATCTGAAGGTATACATTGTCCCCAAATGTAAAATAGTTATGGGTAAGGACAAAGTCACAAAGTTCAGCCACCAGGTTAGCCGTGACATTATCGGGGATAGCGTTCTTGACGGCTTGTAGTCCATCTTTGTGTGGAATGTTGGTGTAGAGGGCTTCTACATCCATAGTGGCCAGGATGGTGTTATCAGGAAGATCACCGATGGATTGAAGTTTCCTCAGGAAGTCAGTGGTGTCTCGAAGGTTGCTGGGAGTGCTGGTAGCGTAGGGCCTGAGGAGGGAGTCTACATAGCCAGACAATCCTGCTGTCAGGGTGCCAATGCCTGAGATGATGGGGCGCCCAGGATTTCCAGGTTTATGGATCTTGGGTAGTAGATAGAATATCCCAGGTCGGGGTTCCAGGGGTGTGTCTGTGCGGATTTGATCTTGTGCTTTCCTATCCTAAAGGATGACCCAACACTCTCACAAATCTTGGGAGACAGGCCAGTCCTTGCCTACAGACAGCCCCGCAACCTGAAGCAAATACTCACCAACAACCACATACCACACAACAGAACCACTAACCCAGGAACTTATCCTTGCAACAAAGCCCGTTGCCAACTGTGCCCACATATCTATTCAGGGGACACCATCACAGGGCCTAATAACATCAGCCACACTATCAGAGGCTCGTTCACCTGCACATCCACCAATGTGATATATGCCATCATGTGCCAGCAATGTCCCTCTGCCATTTACATTGGTCAAACTGGACAGTCTCTACGTAAAAGCATAAATGGACACAAATCAGATGTCAAGAATTATAACATTCATAAACCAGTCGGAGAACACTTCAATCTCTCTGGTCACGCAATCACAGACATGAAGATCGCTATATTAAAACAAAAAAACTTCAAATCCAGACTCCAGTGAGAAACTGCTGAATTGGAATTCATTTGCAAATTGGATACTATTAATTTAGGCTTAAATAGAGACTGGGAGTGGCTAAGTTATTATGCAAGGTAGCCTATTTCCCCTTGTTTTTTCCTACCCCCCCCCCCCCCCCCCCCCGACGTTCTGGTTAAACTTGGATTTAAACTTGGAGAGTGGTCAGTTTGGATGAGCTATTGCCAGCAGGAGAGTGAGTTTGTGTGTGTGTCCCCGGGGGGAAAAAAAGGGGGGGGGGTGAGAGAGCCTGGATTTGTGCTGGACATGGCCCACCTTGATTACCATGCACATTGTAGGGAGAGTGGTCACTTTGGATGAGCTATTACCAGCAGGATATTGAGTTTGTGTGTGTGGTTTTTGGAGGGGGGTGAGGGGGTGAGAGAACCTGGATCTGTGCAGGAAATGGCCCACCTTGATTATCATGCACATTGTGAAGAGAGTTGTCACTTTGGATGGGCTATTACCAGCAGGAGAGTGAGTTTGTGTGTGTGGGGGGGTGGAGGGTGAGAAAACCTGGATTTGTGCTGGAAATGGCCCAACTTGATGATCACTTTAGATAAGCTATTACCAGCAGGACAGTGGGGTGGGAGGAGGTATTGTTTCATGATCTCTGTGTGTATATAATGTCTGCTGCAGTTTCCACGGTATGCATCCGATGAAGGGAGCTGTAGCTCACGAAAGCTCATGCTCAAATAAATTGGTTAGTCTCTAAGGTGCCACAAGTCCTCCTTTTCTTTTTGTGAATACAGGCTAACACGGCTGCTATTCTGAAACCTATAAAGTCATGACTGGTGTGGAATAAATAAATAAAATAAATAAGGAAGTGTTATTTACTCCTCACAACACAAGAACTAGGGGTCACCCAATGAAATTAATAGGCAGCAGGTTTAAAACAAACAAAAGGAAGTATTTCTTCACACAACGCACAGTCAATCTGTAGAACTCCTTGCCACACGATGTTGTGAAGGCCAAGACTATAACAGGGTTCAAAAAAGAACTAGATAAGGCCATGGAGGATAGGCCCATCGATGGCTATTAGCCAATGTGGCAGGGATGCAAAACCATGGTCTGAAGTGTCCCTACCCTCTGTTTGCCAGAAGCTAGGAATGGGTGACAAGGGATGGATGACTTGATGATTACCTGTTCTGTTCATTCCCTCTGAAGCACCTGGCATTGGCCACTGTTGGAAGACAGGATACTGGGCTAGAAGGACCATTGGTCTGACCCAGTATGGCTGTTCTTATGTTAAGGGCTGTTGTAAAGAGGACAGTGATCAATTGTTCTCCATGTCCACTGAAGGTAGGACAAGAAGTAAACGGCTTAATCTGCAGCAAGGGAGATTTCAGTTTGGTACAGGGGAACCCCATTTATCCGATCTACTTGGGACCAGGGCCCGATCGCATAATCAAAAATTTGGATAATCAGGAGAATGGGCGGGGCTTGTACTGTCAAGCCCCGGCGGAGGGGCTCGGTTCAGTTAATACAGAAAGATGATTAAACAGTGTTCTACTGTATTAGGAAAAACTTTCTAATGATAAAGGTAGTTAAGCTCTGGAACAGGCTTCCAATGGAGGTGGATTCTCTGTAATTTGAAATCTTTAAACCACGATTTGAGGACTTCAGTAAGTCAGGGAAAGGTGAAGGAACTATTACAGGAATGGGAGGGTGGAGTTCTGTGGCCTGTGATGTGCAGGAGGTTAGATTACATGATCATGATGGTTCCTTCTGACCTTTGAGTCTGAGTTGTGGAACCTCCATCACTGGAGGTTTCTAAGAATAGGTTGGCCAGACACCTGTCAGGGATCATAGAATCATAGAATATCAGGGTTGGAAGGGACCCCAGAAGGTCATCTAGTCCAACCCCCTGCTCGAAGCAGGACCAATTCCCAGTTAAATCATCCCAGCCAGGGCTTTGTCAAGCCTGACCTTAAAAACCTCTAAGGAAGGAGATTCTACCACCTCCCTAGGTAACGCATTCCAGTGTTTCACCACCCTCTTAGTGAAAAAGTTTTTCCTAATATCCAATCTAAACCTCCCCCACTGCAACTTGAGACCATTACTCCTCGTTCTGTCATCTGCTACCATTGAGAACAGTCTAGAGCCTAGGTTTACAGTCTAGGGATGTTCTAGGTTTACTTGGTTCTGCCTCAGTGCAGGGGATAGAACTTCATGACTTCTCAAGGTCCCTTCCAGCCCTGCATTTCTATGATTTCATGGTCTGTCCTTCATGGTAAAGATTCTCTTAGGTGCTTCTTCTGGCTCTGCTGGCTGAAAAGTCGGGCATACTCATGGGCATGACACATTCACACAGTGTTCCCAGCATGTTGTCAGTTACTGCTTGGAATTGAGTAGTGATGTCACCTACTGAAATGGCTGTGAGGGCCTTCCCTGCAATTACTACTTACGTGAGTAAGAGGGGTCTGCTCCTCCATAGGCGCCAACTTCTTCTGGAGCCGTTGGGTGCTTGATGCCCCCGGCCCTGCCCGACTCCACCCCTGCCGCACCCTCTCCCGCCCCCATTCCAACCCCTTCCCCAAAGTCTCCGCCCCCATTCCAACCCTGTCCCCGCCCCCTCCCTGCCCCTATTCGACTACTTCCCCATATCCCCACCACGTTCCTGCTCCTCCCCACTCCCTCACAGCGCTTGCTACAGCTGTTTGGTGGCGGCAAGCTCTGGGAGGGAGGGAGGAGCTGGGAGGAGGCGGAGGAGGAGGTGGGAGGGGCGGGGACCTTGGCTGCTGGTGCGTGAAGAGCACCCACTAATTTTTCCCCTTGGATGCTCCAGCCCCAGAGCATCCACGGAGTCGGCGCCTATGCGCTCCTCTCCTCTTGCACTCAATCCTTGACATCAGTGGCTGGTTGTGCTTTTCACAGTGCCTGTGTCATGACTATTTGCTCTGTCCCTGCAGGCAGAGTGTCATAATTACATCCGCATTCTGGAGTTTGCTGATGAGAGCCACCTCTATACCTGCGGGACCTTTGCTTTTGATCCACAGTGCGGCTTCATTGTAAGGGCTCAGTGCCTGTTGGGGAAGGGGGAGGGAGTAAAGGGAGGGTTGAATGGGCCAGGAGAAGAGTCCAGTGCTGCCTGCTTGGGGAAATGGGCAGAGATCAGGAAGGATGAACCTAAAGCTAATGAGAGGCTTTTCTGTGGCTTCATCACCCTGGTTCGAGCTCTGAGGCCATAAGGAATACACCCTCAGCCTCTTGGTGAGCTATGGAAGTAGTATCCCCATTTTGCAGGAGAAGTGAGTTGCCCAAGGTCATGCCAGGAGCCTGTGTCAGAACCAGGGGTTGAACCCTCCTGAGGCCCCAGGCAGTGTTTTAACCACAGAACATTCCCTCCATATATTAAATTTCCAGTCCTGAGTGGGGTGGTAGTAAGGCAGGAACCCAGGGAAGGATTGGGGCCTCCAGTGAGTGGTTAACGGCCTTTGTAACGAAGTACTTCAGCAAAAAATAAATGCTGTCTTGGCTGCAGGAACAAGTTAAACAAGGGAGGGGACAAGTCCTGGGGCTTCCACCATTGAGAGTCCACACAATCCAGCTTAACATCAGCCTGTCCCACCCCAGACAGCCTGCATGGGGGGTGGTGTCTGTTAGCCCCTCCCCAAACCCAAATGGGGTGGCTGAACTTTCTCTGCTTTTATTGCAGAAAGTGGCCAATTTCAGCAGTGTGGAGCGGCAGGAAAGTGGCCGGGGGAAATGCCCCTTTGAGCCTACGCAACAGTCAGCAGCCGTAATGGTCGGTACGTTTGTCACAGTGTCAGCGGCATTTTGGTTTGGTCTGGAACTCAGTGCAGGGAGCAAGACTGTGGCTCTGGAAGGAAGAAGCATGTTGGGGGTAGAAGCAGCAAGCGAACAAGCTTCCCTCACCATCCAGGTGTAAAGGGATTTCAGACCTTGGCCTCCTCTGCGGAGACTGCTTGCAGGGCCGGTTAGTTACAGTTGCAATGTGGACATCTGTCTATTAGGAACTGGACAGAAGCACCAGCCCTCCATTCCCCAGAGTCACCACATGGGGGCAATGACTTCCTGGGATTACTATCTATCTCTGAATGAAACCGGTGACCTATGTGTAAAACGCCATAATCCATGTCCCGACTGGGAGCTGGAGAGGGATACAAATTACACTGCGCACATCACAGAGCGGCATCTGCTGCTGCCCAGTCCAGGAGCTGGCACAGGCCACATGAGGTCTGCACCACCTTGAGCCATTTAGTGTTTGAAAGTGAACGCTATTTAAATACATTGACCTGAGCATCCCGGACTGAGGCTACCAAGGCCCAGGGTGTCCCCATGACCTAGAATCTCCCAAACCTGGTCCTCGTCTTGCCTGTGCTTGAGCCATGGGGAGCCAGGCAGAGTGCAGTGGCTGACTTGGTTAGGAAGATTCCCTTCCATCTCCAACTGGAGAAGGGTGCCATGAGACTGGGTTAGCACCGAGGCCACAAGTGGTAGTCACTAGCATTCTAAACTAGCTGCTGATGAACCTGGGTGGAAAATGGAGTAAAATCCAGCCTCTCCTTGCCATCCAGATGTTACATCAAGGCCCGATTAGCCACATTTTCCTTATAGGTTCAGGCACAGCTCTGCATTACAGCCTGGCCACGGTGTACTCCTTTCCCCTCCCCCATCTCTTTCCCTGAATTGCACATTGGTCTTCTGTGTCTTTCACACCTGTCACATCTTGGACCTTCCTCTAGATGGTGTCCTGTATGCTGCCACTGTCAGCAATTTCCTGGGGACACAGCCCATCATCTCCAGAGCAACAGGAAACCTTGAGGAGCGCATCCGGACAGAGATCTCAGTGACCTGGCTGAATGGTGAGTGACCAATGGAGATCATAGAATCAGAATATCAGGGTTAGAAGGGACTTCAGGACGTCATCTAGTCCAACCTCCTGCTCAAAGCAGAACCAATCCCCAACTATATCATCCCAGCCAGGGCTTTGTCAAGCCTGACCTTAAAAACCTCTAAGGAAGGAGATTCCACCACCTCCCTAGGTAACCCATTCCAATGTTACACCACCCTCCTGGGGAAAAAGTTTTTCCTAATATCCAACCTAAACCTCCCCCACTGCAACTTGACACCATTACTCCTCGTTCTGTCATCTGCTACCACTGAGAACAGTCTAGATCCATCCTCTTTGGAACCCGCTTTCAGGGAGTTGAAAGCAGGTATCAAATTCCCCCTCATTCTTCTCTTCTGCAGACTAAACAATCCCAGTTCCCTCAGCCTCTCCTCATAAATCATGTGTTCCAGTCCCCTAATAATTTTTGTTGCCCTCTGCTGGACTCTTTCCAATTTTTCCACATCCTTTCTGTAGTAGGGTGCCCAAAACTGGACACAGTACTCCACATGACGCCTGACCAATGCCGAATAGAGGGGAACGATCATGTCCCTCGATCTGCTGGCAATGCCCCTACTTATACAGCCCAAAATGCCATTAGCCTTCTTGGCAACAAGGGCACACTGTTGACTCATATCTAGCTTCTCATCCACTGTAACCCCTAGGTCCTTTCCTTCAGAACTGCTGCCAAGCCATTTGGTCCCTAGTCTGAAGCAGTGCATGGGATTCTTCTGTCCTAAGTGCAGGACTCTGCACTTGTCCTTGTTGAACCTCCATCAGATTTCTTTTGGCCCAATCCTTTAATTTGTCTAGGGCCCTCTGTATCCTATCCCTACCCTCCAGTATATCTACCACTCCTCCCAGTTTAGTGTCATCTGCAAACTTGCTGAGGGTGCAGTCCACGCCATTCTTCAGATCATTAATGAAGATATTGAAGAAAACCGGCCCCAGGACTGACCCTTGGGGCACTCCGCTTGATACCGGCTGCCAACTAGACATGGAGCCGTTGATCACTACCTGTTGAGCCCGATGATCTATCCAGCTTTCTATCCACCTTATAGTCCATTCATCCGGCCCATACTACTTTAAGTTGCTGGCAAGAATACTGTGGGAGACCGTGTCAAAAGCTTTGCTAAAGTCAAGGAACAACAAGTCCACTGCTTTTCCTTCATCCACAGAACCAGTTATCTCGTCATAGAAGGCAATTAGATTAGTCAAGCATGACTTGCCCTTGGTGAATCCATGCTAACTCTTCCTGATCACTTTCCTCTCCTTCAGTGCTTCAGAATTGATTCCTTGAGGACCTGCTCCATGATTTTTCCAGGGACTGAGGTGAGGCTGACTGGCCTGTAGTTCCCAGGATCCTCTTCCTTCCCTTTTTTAAAGATGGGAACTACATTAGCCTTTTTTCAGTCGTCCGGGACTTCCCCCGATCGCCATGAGTTTTCAAAGATAATGGCCAATGGCCAGTGGCTCTGCAATCACATCCGCCAACTCCTTTAGCACTCTCAGATGCAATGCATCCGGAGCCATGGACTTGTGCACGTCCAGCTTTTCTAAATAGTCCCGAACCACTTCTTTCTCCACAGAGGGCTGGTCACCTCCTCCCCATGCTGTACTGCCCAGTGCAGCAGTCTGGGAGCTGACCTTGTTCGTGAAGACAGAGGCAAAAAAAGCATTGAGTACATTAGCTTTTTCCACGTCCTCTGTCACTAGGTTGCCACCCTCATTCAGTACGGGTCCTGCACTTTCCTTGACTTTCTTCTTGTTGCTAACATGCCTGAAGAAACCCTTCTTGTTACTCTTAACATCTCTTGCTAGCTGCAACTCCAGGTGTGATTTGGCCTTCCTGATTTCACTCCTGTATGCCTGAGCAATATTTTTATACACCTCCCTGGTCATTTGTCCCATCTTCCACTTCTTGTAAGCTTCTTTTTTGTGTTTAAGATCAGCAAGGATTTCACTGTTAAGCCAAGTTGGTTGCCTGCCATATTTACTATTCTTTCGACGCATCAGAATGGTTTGTTCCTGCAACGTCAATAAGGATTCTTTAAAATACAGCCAGCTCTCCTGGACCCCTTACCCCCTCTTGTTTGTTCTCCCATGGATCCTGGCCATCAGTTCCTTGAGGGAGTCAAAGTCTGCTTTTCTGAAGTCCAGGGTCCAAGATTCTGCCCATGTTAAGTCTCTAAGGGATCTGAGGACAGAGAGAAGGGGGGAGATGGATGTTTCTGAGGGGGACGGGGGTGGGAATTTTTGAGACCATCAATGGCTGATGACATAAAGAGAAAATGCCAAGTGAATCCTGCCTCCTCTTGGCCCCTGAGAGTGTCATAGAATATCAGGGTTGGAAGGGACCTCAGGATGTCATCGAGTCCAACCCCCTGCTCAAAGCAGGACCAATCCCCAATTAAATCATCCCAGCCAGGGCTTTGTCAAGCCTGACCTTAAAAACTTTTAAGGAAGGAGATTCCACCACCTCCCTAGGCAACGCATTCCAGTGTTTCACCACCCTCCTAGGGAAAAAGTTTTTCCTAATATCCAACCTAAACCTCCCCCACTGCAACTTGAGAGCATAACTCCTCGTTCTGTCATCTGCTACCACTGAGAACAGTCTAGAGCCATCCTCTTTGGAACCCCCTTTCAGGTAGTTGGAAGCAGCTATCAAATCCCCCCTCATTCTTCTCTTCCGTAGACTAAACATCCCCAGTTCCCTCAGCCTCTCCTCATAACTCATGTGTTCCAGTCCCCTCATCATTTTTGTTGCCCTCCACTGGATTCTCTCCAATTTTTCCATATCCTTCTTGTAGTGTGGGGCCCAAAACTGGACACAGTACTCCAGATGAGGCCTCACCAGTGTCCAATAGAGGGGAACGATCACGTCCCTCAATCTGCTGGCAATGCCCCTACTTATACATCCCAAAATGCCATTGGCCTTCTTGGCAACAAGGGCACACTGTTGACTCATATCCAGCTTCTCGTCCACTGTAACCCCTAGGTCCTTTTCCGCAGAACTGCTGCCGAGCCATTCGGTCCCTAGTCTGTAGCGGTGCATTGGATTCTTCCGTCCTAAGTGCAGGACTCTGCACTTGTCCTTGTTGAACCTCATCAGATTTCTTTTGGCCCAATCCTCCAATTTGTCTAGGTCCCACTGTATCCTATCCCTACCCTCCAGCATATCTACCTCTCCTCCCAGTTTAGTGTCATCTGCAAACTTGCTGAGGGTGCAATCCACACCATCCTCCAGATCATTTATGAAGATATTGAACAAAACTGGCCCCAGAACCAACCCCTGGGGCACTTCACTTGATACCGGCTGCCAACTAGACATGGAGCCATTGATCACTACCCGTTGAGCCCAACAATCTAGCCAGCTTTCTATCCACCTTATCGTCCATTCATCCAATCCATACTTTTTTTAACGTGCTGGCAAGAATACTGTGGGAGACCGTGTCAAAAGCTTTGCTAAAGTCAAGGAACAACACGTCCACTGCTTTCCCTTCATCCACAGAGCCAGTTATCTCGTCATAGAAGGCAATTAGATTAGTCAAGCATGACTTGCCCTTGGTGAATCCATGCTGACTCTTCCTGATCACTTTCCTCTCATGTAAGTGCTTCAGAATTGATTCCTTGAGGACCTGCTCCATGATTTTTCCAGGGACTGAGGTGAGGCTGACTGGCCTGTAGTTCCCAGGATCCTCCTTCTTCCCTTTTTTAAAGATGGGCACTACATTAGCCTTTTTCTAGTCGTCCGGGACTTCTCCTGATCGCCATGAGTTTTCAAAGATAATGGCCAATGGCCAGTGGCTCTGCAATCACATCCGCCAACTCCTTTAGCACTCTTGGATGCAATGCATCCAGCGCCATGGACTTTTGCACGTCCAGCTTTTCTAAATAGTCCCGAACCACTTCTTTCTCCACGGAGCGCAGGTCACCTCCTCCCCATGCTGTGCTGCCCAGTGCAGCAATCTGGGAACTGACCTTGTTCGTGAAGACAGAGCCAAAAAAAGCAGTGTCCATGGCAGGTAGGGATGATATCAATATACTGGCCCTTTGCCCAGGAACAGTAGTAGTCACGTGTGTGGGGGGGGGGGGGGGGGGAGGGATCTGCTTGTTCAGCATTTGAAGCTCTGATAGTTCATTTCCTGTTGTGATGGTCTTTCACCTGTATCCATAGACCCAGTCTTTGTGGGCTCCACTTTCCTGAGAGGGGGCGAGAGTGGAGAGAATGACAAAATCTATTTCTTCTTCACGGAGACAGCCAGAGAGTACGACTTCTATGAACAAGTGAGGGTCCCACGTGTGGCCAGAGTCTGCAAGGTACGATCCGCAGGGCTCCCACAATGCAGAAGGAAGGGGATGGCCTCGCAGGCACTTGGCAGTTTCTGTGCAAAGTGAAAGCTGCCTGCCAGTCCGAGGGTGTCTGCCACTCTCAGGAGGAGGTAAAAAGTAATTACCCTTATCTGGCCAGGACACCAGTGTGACGGGTTGGATCACAGAAACCCCTTGGGAACTGCCAACTGATGTGCTGAGACTACCCTTGAGCCTGTTTCCCCTGGCAGCTTGAGACTTCAGTGCCCTGCCTGGTTTGAGCCAGATACACTAGCCTGCTGTAAACCCAGACCCAGGTCTGAACCATGTCCCCTAACAGCTGCAGGCTTAACTGAAAACAGTTTAAGAAGTGTTTCTGTTTCCAGCACTCAGATGCCCACTCCCAATGGCGTCCAAACCCCAGATAAATCTGTTTTACCCTGTATAAAGCTTATGTAGGGTAAACTCATAAATTGTTTGCCCTCTGTAGCACTGATGAAGCTGTTTGCCCGCCCCCCCCCCCCAGGTATTAGTACATACTCTGGGTTAATTAATAAGTAAAAAGTGATTTTATTAAATACAAAAAGTAGGATTCAAGTGGTTCCAAGTAATGACAGACAGAACAAAGTAAATTACTAGACAAAATAAAATAAAACACAGAAGTCTATGCCTAATACAGTAAGAAAGTGATTACTGCTGAAATCTCACCCTCAGAGATGATCCAGTAAGCTTCTTTTACAGACTAGTCTCCTTCTTGTCTGGGTCCAGCAATCGCTCCCACCCCTGTGGTTATTGTCCTTTGTTCCAGTCTCTTTTAGGTAACCTTTGGGTGTGGAGAGGCTATCTCTTGAGCCAGCTGAAGACAAAATGGAGAGGTTTTCAGGGGCTTAAATAGACTTTCTCTTGTGGGTGGTCCCCCTCCTCTCTCCTATCCAGAATTCAGCTCAAAGATGGAGTTTTGGAGTCACATGGGCAAGTCACATGTCCATGCATGACTGAATTCCTTACCAGCCAGGCCACATTCCTGGGAAAGCTCAGATGTGGATTGGTGTCTCCAAGTTCATTGTTGGCTTAAGTGTTTCTTGATTGGGCACTTACTGAGAATAGACTTTTCTCAGGAAGCTCTGACCAACTGCTTCACTGAAGCTACTTAAAATTAAACAAGTACATAGCCAATATTCATAACTTTGAATACAAAAATGATACATGCATACAAATAGGATGAATATATTTAGTAGATCATAACCTTTACAGAGATATGTTACATTCATAAGCATATTCCCATAAAGCATTATGGGGTGCACCATCACAACCAGAACTGGAAACCTGCTTCTGCCAGAAGAACCTATAAGATATGCAGTGATGGTACATGGCGAGGCCCTCACTTTTACATCTCGCTGTCAGGAGCACAATATGTCCTGCCACCGCTTGGAGCCAGGGGTGTCAATGTGGACTTGGAGCCCCTCTGCTCTCTAGGTTTCCTGAAGAACATCTTCCATCCCTGATCAGATTCCGTCACTAAACTGAGCCCTGCTGTATCTCCGAGATTCCATCCACTCCTCTCCATCCACACAGCCAAACTCCGGTCCTGGCATTGGACATCCGCACCTCCACCACAGCAAATTCCTCCTCTCTGGTCTCCCTGACACACACCTACCTCTCATCTCTATCCAAATCTCCACTGCAAAAATAACCTATCTCACTGCACCCCCAGAGCATGTTCAGCTCCTGGTGAGGCTTGTGGGCTCCCTTTGAACTCCTATGACAGGTTTCAGAGTAACAGCCGTGTTAGTCTGTATTCGCAAAAAGAAAAGGAGTACTTGTGGCACCTTAGAGACTAACCAATTTATTTGAGCATAAGCTTTCGTGAGCTACAGCTCATTTCATCGGATGCATACTGTGGAAAATACAGAAGACGTTTTTATACACCCAAACCATGAAAAAATGGGTGTTTATCACTATAAAAGGTTTTCTCTCCCCCCACCCCACTCTCCTGCTGGTAATAGCTTATCTAAAGTGATCACTCTCCTTACAATGTGTATGATAATCAAGGTGGGCCATTTCCAGCACAAATCCAGGGTTTAACAAGAACGTCTGAGGAACAGGGGGGTAAGGAAAAAACAAGTTGAAAGTTGCGATATTACAACAGAAAAACTTCAAAACCAGACTCCAGCGAGAGACTGCTGAATTGGAATTCATTTGCAAATTGGATACAATTAACTTAGGCTTGAATAGAGACTGGGAGTGGCTAAGTCATTATGCAAGGTAACCTATTTCCCCTTGTTTTTTCCTTACCCCCTGCCCCCCGTTCCTCAGACGTCTTGTTAAACCCTGGATTTGTGCTGGAAATGGCCCACCTTGATTATCATACACATTATAAGGAGAGTGATCACTTTAGATAAGCTATTACCAGCAGGAGAGTGGGGTGGGGGGAGAGAAAACCTTTTGTAGTGATAAACACCCATTTTTTCATGGTTTGGGTGTATAAAAACATCTTCTGTATTTTCCACAGTATGCATCCGATGAAGTGAGCTGTAGCTCACGAAAGCTTATGCTCAAATAAATTGGTTAGTCTCTAAGGTGTCACAAGTACTCCTTTTCTTTGAACTCCTAGTTCTCCCTCCTGCCTCTCAGCCTCATCTCCTCTAACTTCTCCATGATCTCTGTCCTCAGCTCCTGCTGCTTGCCCGGACATTCCTGTCTGTACTTCCTCTGCACTGCCTCCTGTGCAGTCTCCTCCTCTCCATCATATGGGCCGTCATCCATGTCCTGCTTGTCTGCATCTCCCACAAGCATCTCTGTGCTTTCCTCCATGGCTCCTCTTCCCTCCACGAGCTAATCCATAAAGACTGTCCTATCCTCCTCCATGACCCTTTCCAAGCCCCACCTCTGCTGTGACATCAATAGTAAATAGCCAGCTTGAAGGGCTAGGCAGGGTCTTCCAGTGTCATTAAAGTTGATTGCTTGTTGAATACCTTTTAAAAACTAATCTGTAACTGTGTGTCTTTCTGCCATGTTACCCCAGTATGCCCTCCCCCACTTCCTTAGCTGCTTATGTCCACCTGTTACTGCTTGTCTTAAGTTCTGAACTCTTTGGGTCAGTGCCTCTCTTTGTGTCTATGCAGCACCCAGCACAACGGGGCTCTGATGTGTGATTCGGCTCTTATTTGTCATTATTTATATTATCATACTGCCTAGAAGCCCCAGTCATGGACCAAGAGCCCATTGTGCTAGTGCAAAATACAAACCCAAAAGGCTGTCACTGCCTCAAAGGGCTTACAATGTAAGTATAAGACAAGAAATGACAGATGGATACAGACAGAGTACAAGGAAACAATGAGACAATATTGGTCAGCACAAAAGACAGTCGTGTCAGTGAACCAGCAGCCTAAACGTTGTCAAGTTTTTGTAGGCTTCACAGCAGTTTTAAGAAGGCATTTGAAGGAAAACAGTGAGTTAGTTTTGCAGATGTTTGTGTGGAGCACTTTCCACGTTCAAGAGGCAGCATGAGAAAAAGCATGGAAGGTGCTTGTTTGAAAATTTACAAGTGGGTGGTGCAGGATGGCATCATGGGCTGATCGGAGGCGGGAGTCAATCTGTCAGTACGAAAGCCACTATAGGCTCTACAATAATACAGAAATAAAGAACACAGGTTGCCATACTGACTACTGATTACATCCATGCTTAATAAAAATGCTTCATTTGTAAATTATCTGCATCTACTGTAAACCTTCCAGTGTGCCCCTGCAGAATCGAAGTCCAGCTTGCTGTGCAGCGCAGGGAGGGGCTTTACCTTCATTATCATTGTAAATTCCATGATCAGGGAGTCTGCCTGTCTGTGTATTGCAAAGCTCAATGCTCATCTGTTAGAGGGACAAGGTGGGTGAGGTAATGTGTTGGGTTTTTTTTGTTTGTTTGTTTTTGTTTTTTGGACCAACTTCTTTTGTTGAGAGAGACAAGCTTTTGAGTCTCACAGAGCTCTGCTTCAGGTCTGGGAAAGGTACTTGCAACATCACAGCTAAATGCAAGGTGAAACAGATTGTTTAGTATAAGTTAGCATGTATTATTGGGGACCATTCAAGGTAGAGTGGTCTGTTAACACAAAAGCAGGGGTGGGTTAGTGAGTTACAGATTGTTGTAATAACTCATAAATCCAGTGTCTCTGTCCAGTACATGATTTTTAGTGTCTAGCAGAATAGTGAATTTAAGCTCCCAGGCTTGTCTTTTGAAAGTGTTGTGCAGGTTTCCTTTGAAGATGAGGACTAAGAGGTCAGATATAGGGTGATCACTTTGTGAAAAGTGTTCATCCACAGGTGACAGGGTGTTTTTGTCTTTTATTGTTTTCCTATATGAATTGTCTCTAATATCCTGGGACCAACACAGCTACACATGCTCATCTATTGTCTAACATGCTATGTTAGCTGTAACACAGACCATGCCCAGTTTGGATAGCTTGTGAAATCTGACAAGCTTGCATTCAAGATCATTCATCAATAATTTAATACCGCCTCTGGTGGTTATGTATTCTGCCAATTGAAGCTTTCTTTCTGTTATCTTGGCCTGTTGAGAGTGGTTTACAATAAGACCAGCCATACTGGGTCAGACTAATTGTCCATTTAGCCCAATATCCTGTCTTCCAACAGCGACCAGTGCCAGGAGCTTCAGAGGGAATGAACAGAATAGTGCTGTTGAGTGATCCATTTCCTGTCATCCACTCCCGCTATCTGGCAGACAGAGGCTAGCAACACCCAGAGCACGAGGTTGCATCCGTGACCATCTTGGCTAATAGCCATTGCTGGACCTATCCTCCAAGAACTTCTCATTCTTTTTTCAACCCTGTTATAATTTTGGGCTTCACAACGTCCCCTGGCAGCGTGTTCCACAGGTTGACTGTGCATTGTGTGAAGAAGTATTTCCTTTTGTTTTGTTTTTAAACCTGCTGCCTATTGATTTCATTGGGTGACCCCTGGTTCTTGTATTAAGAGGAGGAGTAAATAACACTTCTGTAT